AAACACAAAGAAGGAAATTATTAGTTATTTTTCAGAGAATTGGAGTCAATAAAACTTCATTAATTTCCAAGTAGCAACTAAAAAGTTCAGAGAAAATCAGCAGTGCATTAAAAACCCGACATATAACCACAAAAAACAACTTTAAAAAGATCACTTTAAAAACTGATATGAAGAAAGATTAAAACCAAAACAATGGACCAGCCTGACTTTAGTCAAACTGCAGAGAACCATAAAGACGGATTTGATGGAAGAATGAATGAAAATCATAAATAAGAAACGTGTGAAGCTACTTTTTCCACTCCTAACTGCAGCTGTAACTGCTTTTCTACCAACTATTCTGGAACAAATATTCCTCATGTAGTTCTAATATTTTTCACAACTAATTTTATGGACTTATTTTCAAAGTGTGGATCACTTGGACTGTTAACTTCTGGTGTCATTTACAACATATTTACTGAAAAAAACATGTTCAATGTTTGTCATCTTCAAACATGATTTTTTTTAATCCATCTTTGCAAGAACTAATAAAATATGAAGTGAATGCATCATTAGGAAAATATTTACTTTTTTGTAATGTTACTTAAAATTGCATTTTTGGCAAGTGAAAAAGGTCGTTACAGGTTAAATCTCACCACAGAACAGATTTGTTTCTGCAGATTTGCAGTATTTACTCCAAAGATAGAATGAAACTTCATTTTCCTGAAACTATGATGTAATTTTTTCCACACAAACCTCTATACACACATTTCACTCTACAGCCACACGCGCTGTGAACCAGTCCAACCTGCAGCTTTACAGGAAGGCGAGCGTGTGTGTGTGTGTGTGTGTGTGTGTGTGTGTGTGTGTGTGAGACATCCTCTCATTGTTCCTGCCTTCACAGGGGAGAATGCTCTCATGTTATTGTTTCACCTCAGGAACAAATGAGTTCAGTCAACAAACAAATCTGAGTAAAGCTTCACTTTGGAGAAACAAAATCTGGCAAAATTCTTTCAAACAGGAGGAAAACATTTCCAAAAATTAAATGTCCCACAGTGAATTTGCACAGGTTGTTTTCTTAAAATGAACTCAAAATTGTTCATTTCTGCTTGTGGGTTTATCTTAATCAACCAGATCTGTGAATAAAACATTCTCCAAAGATATAAAGAACATCCTGCATGCTTCTTTATCTTAATAATGTGAGGAATGTTCTGCACATCAAAAGTAGGCTGCTTAGTTAGCTTTATCATAATAAGAAACAATGTGCAGAACATTTTGATGTGCAGAACGTTCTGCACATCAAAAGTCGGCTTTTTCAAAATAAGAAACAATTTGTAGTTTTCTTTGAGGTCTGATCTGCTCAGTCTGATATTTTTAGTCTTGATTCAGTTTTCTGGACTAGGAAAAACTTTCCTGCAGGCGTTTCTCTTCCTTACAGATTTCTTCTAGTTTTGCTTTTTGTGTCCAACAGAAACCTGGTTTTTGCTAGAGTTAGCTTGGTGGCACTTTGGTAGAGTTGGCATGGTTACTTTTTGCTGCAAGTAGGGTTGAGGCATTTTGCTAAGGCTACCTTGTTCGCTTTTGCAAGTGTTGGCATCATGGCATCTGTTGTTGCGGCTTGCATTGTGGCTTTTTGCTTTTGAGCTGTGGGTTTTGTTGCTGCCTCGTGGTTTTTGGATTTCTATGACCAGTCTGGGCCACCATACAAAACAAGACAAAGGCCCATCTCACTCAGTTTTTAAATGATATTCTTTGGACCGACTATAGAAAGTAGTAGGGCCAAGAGAAGCAGCTTTGCCATCCATAATATAAACTGGGAGTTTTGATACATTTAATGAATAAGAAATAAAAGCTTTAGAGTAATTTAGCTGCGATCACCAATCAGTGATAGTTTAATAATCTCAATTCAACCTCAACAGGACATTTCCACAAACATCTTCCAATCTGCCTGTTGTGTACTTTTGTCTAACCATTAGCAGAACGGCCCTGAAAGCAAACAGTGAAACTAGGAGGTCGTTGCACTGGATGACAGCAGATCAACATCTAGGCTAACTGTCTGTTTGATGCAGATCTATCCAAAGCAACTGTGGGACATCTTAAGCCAAATCTACACATTTAGGCTCTTATCACTAAAAAAAGAGAAAAACAACATAAAAACCTGTTAATTGTTACTTAAATAAGTGGTTACCTGGTCTCTCCTGCCCACCACTGAGAACCACATGTTGCTGCTTCCTGCTACGCTTTTCCCAAACCAGTTCAGGCTGCCACGTCCAAACTGGTGGAGGGACAAGAACTGTGCACACCTGCTTTTATCCCAGCAAGCTTCTTCAACCTGCCAACATGAACCGACAAGTCCGGCGCCTCCCAATTACACTGGCAAGAGGTAAACCATTCAAAAGAAGAAGAAAAAAATAAATCACTGTTTACAGACGGAGACGTGGGACAGCGAAGAACTCCGAATTCCCAAAGTTCAGACAGAAAAAAAAAAAGTCACAGGATTTTACTGGAAGTCATGTTAAAAAGTTAGAAACTTTTCAACAAACACAAGGAGAGTTAATTATGAAAAAGCGGCGGTAATTCCCGTAAATGTGTCCAAAAATACGCGGTGGATTCCAGGAATGTTTCCGAGTGAAACCAAACTCCTCCACATGTTCCTAAGTTCACAGTTTGTCAAACGGTGATTCAGGAGGTGAAGCGTCTGCTGGGACGGCTGCTGGTCAGACTGAGGTGGAGCGCTGCTGCAGCTCCACCAGCCACACACACACGGTTATATAATAGGCCGGAGCTCAGCCCAGTCTACCGTCAGCTCCAGCAGCTGCTTGATAAAATGCACTCTACCTGCCTTTTCCCATCCCACATACCCGTTACTTTTCCACCTCCTCAGACGTCCCAGAAAAAACAAACGCAGCGAGGCGAGGAGGTTTCCTGCGCGCGTCCTTCCTCCCCACACACAGACTCAACATGTGCGCGCAGCAGCGCAGGAAAGCTCTCGACTTCAGCAGGAAACTCGCTCTTCTAAAACAGACAAAGTGTCTTAATGCTTCATGCCGGACAGCTGACACTTCCCGCCTTATCTACCACATTCAGCTTCTCACTGATTACAGAAGCTATAAAGCCATTTTTATTGAAAACATTGGTAAATGTGTGGTTTCTGGAAGAATTAAATTGACTTTCAAGTCTTAAACTGATTCCTCTTTATAAAATACTAATTGAATAAAGATGTTTTCAGCTTAATCTGACATTATTAGGGTGACACATAATAATGTTTATTTTCTCAAACATTCAAATTCAGTGGGCAAAGATAAAACTTTTGCGAGACAATAATTTGTCCCAGTGAATTATTGCGATGAAATATTAACGTTTTGAAACCATTTTCAACTAATATGATGATTATTGCGTAATAACGCAAGTTTGTCCTCTATAACAAACTTTCATTTTATACAGAACACTCCAACTAGAAACAATAAATGAAAAGGAAATAAAAACCACACAACTGAAATGAATAAAATGAATTATGATGAGCAACATTTGCTATGTTTTCAGCTGCTGTGGTTCGCTTTCACACTCCACTGTCAAACAAACCAAACTTATTGAAAAAACAGTTCCCTTCCGTGCCTACGGGAGCGCTGCACCTAAAACTACTGAAGGAAAAATACCTCTGAAGACGCTGAGCTCAACTTCCTTCTTTACAAAATGCAAAAGCATCCAATTTAGCAGAATTCCCATTTTGTTATTTGTGAAAAACAAAAATAAACCATGAGCCATTTCTCCTGCTAGCGCTGAATTAGCTCTTTGTTCTGGTTGAACTTTCCCAGAATGCCCTGCGCTGTAGTCCACTTCCTGCATTTTTAGTGGTCTCTGGTCCGCCTGGCGTTCAAAGATGCATTCAAACCGAACCAGAGTTCACTTCAAATGAACCGAGACCGAGGTTTGCAGGCGGACCAAAATGAACCGAGACCGAGGTTTGCAGGCGGACCAGAGTCCGATCACGCATTCACGCTTCTGCAAATAAACCGGACTCTAAATTTTTTTTAAAACAGATTAAACAGGACTGGTGGGAACGCATCCTTCGAAACGGCATCAAATCTTTACTTTGGATGAAAGTTCTCACTGATTTCACCCAGAAGACTCAATTTTAGCTCAGTTTTATAATAAAAACAGTCTTGCATTCAAACTCACTCAAATACTGCATTTTAAACTTTGAAATAAATAAAGACGACCTTAAAAATCTGCAGACTGAGCATAAAAATGCATAATCTTTCTCACACATCGTCTTTGCCAGGCACATTTTCTAGCATAATGAACTATGTTACCTTCAGTTGATTACATGAAATAGGAATTAAAAGAAATTTTACTTTGTCATTTAACGCTTTGAAATTGGGCCTCTGTCTCTTTAAAAACTCCACTTTCAGGAAGTCATCACAACATGGCTCCTCTATTAACCCTTTAACAAAGTTTTTACAAGCGTTTCACCAAGTAGCTCCTACAATGAGCTCAGCAGTTCCACCAGGTGTTTGCTAATTGCTGCTGGCTAGTCTGAAGGAGCTGAGTGGGGGAGGAGCTGCGCCTCGAAGGCGGGGCTAAGACCACCCAGGCTTTTTTTTGTACAGCTGAAAGGTTGCCATAGAAATTAAAGTATTTCTCAAATATGCATGAAAAAAAAAATCAAGCCAACCCTCCAGGTTTGTTTTTGATGACGGAATAACATTACAACATGATGTTATGCTAAAAAAAGTCGATTTTATACAAAACTGCTCCTTTAGTTCCACTTAGCAACAATTCAACACAAAACATGAGGAACAACTGAAGCTGCACGCTTCCTGCATCCCTCCTCACAGCCAAGCTGGAGGTGAACAGAGCAGGTTTGTGTCCAGAAGCTTCTGTGCAGCGTCAGTGTTTGGTTTTCGCTCCGCTGTCAGACTCAACAGTGAGAGCAGAGCAGCTGGTTCTGTCTGCACCCGTCCAGAACGCTCCATGTGTTCACAGCCAGCAACACAAAGAAACACACAGCAATCAGGTCCTACCTTGGCGGCCACGATGCTGAGGCCCATGCCGTTGGTCTTCTTCAGGGTCACCGTGACAACCTCCGGCTCTTTCCTCATTGGCTGACAGGAGAGAGAGACAGGAAGGACAAACTGTAAACAAGGAAGAAACCTGCAGAGTGGATCTGAAAGGCCTGGAGAGGACTGAGCAAACGTCCGAACGGCGCGGAGAAACGCTGGAAACTGAGTCAGAAAAACAGGGAGGAAATAGGGAGGGAAGGAATGAAGGAAGGATGGATGGATGGAGGGGAAGACCGCAGAGGGACCTGTGGTCTCTGGAATGGAGTCAAGAATGAAAACCACATCATGGCAACTCAGAGACGCTTATGTACACACACTTATACACACAGCAGGGCTCGTTTAGGGAGGGCGGGGCAACAGGGTGGGGAGAGACGGAGATCTGAAGAGGTTCCCACGTCACGGCGGAGGATGACAAAAAAAAAAAAAAACACTAAACAACCGAGAGTCTGGCTGTTTCAAACACTAACTGGTGGTTAAATCGTTAAACTACAAAACAAACAAAGCTTCAACAATAGCTCTGTTTTCATTACCAATGCGTCCTGACGCTGACGTTCTGCTAACGTTAAAAAACACAATTTCACAATTCTGGTGTTTCCATCCAATAAGAAAAGTAATGACAGGGTTCGTACTCTTCTCAGTAAAATTCAAGCACTTTTCAAGCATTTTCAAGGCAGGTTTTCAAGCAGTGAGAAAAAAAGATGCATCTTTTTATTTGGTGTATGAAAATATTTGATTTTAACCTTGAAATTCAAACATTTTCCAGGATTTCAAGCACCTACAAGAACCCTGAAGGAGGCCATGTTTTTTAAATAACACACACATGATTATCAACAAAGGTTTTCCCACATTTCTCATTGAAACACAGCTGATTATGAGGTTTGCATTTTAAAAATAAACCAATATTTATCCTCAGATCAGCCGACATCAGTAAAAATGTGAATATTAAGATAATTACAGGACATGCTGGTTAACCAAACAGCTACTGCAATGAACTGAAACATGCTAGACAGACACTTTAGACCTAAACTTCACCACTTTTCATCACTTTGGTTTATTTTTTTACCCACTGAAAGCGTTCAGCTCCGTCCCGCCTGAACTCACCGTTAACCAGACGCCTGGATTACGTCGAGACTACAGTCATGAAAAAGTGGCGCAGGGATAAACAGACCAATTACACAGGAAGTGGCTGAGTGTGTGCAGTCTGTCATTTACTGCTGCACTCACTAACTGACTCCTCCGCTGCCGTTGGTGTTGATTAAACCGAGAGCGAGTCTCTGAGTGAACGGCGCCGTCGGACTGGAGGACCACACAGGCGAACCGCTGGGCCGCCTGCAGCTTTACAGGACGCTAAAAATAGACCGACTGAGACGTCAGAGGCTTCACTTCTGTCCAGGAATTTTACCTTTTTAGACCAGAGTCTCGTTTGAAAGCAGGAAATGTTCCCTGATCCGTTAAATCTGAGGAAAATTCATCTAATTTACCTTCAACCTCTCAGTTTTGCAACATTTTACTCCGTTTCCCTCTCAGTGTCAATTCATCTCTCTTTCTCTATTTTTATTTTGTTTCCACCAAAATAAAATATATTTCAGTTTGTGATCTGACATAATGCTCAAGTTCAAGGCTAATGAATGTTTTTGCAAAGCAAAAAGTATTTATTATAAAAAAGATTATTCTGCTGCCTTAAAATTGTCCTAGCATCTTTCTGCTACTTTTCATTGACATTTTTAGATGAAAAGACATAAAGGAGAAGAAAAAACAAACAAACATAAATCACTCTTTTAATTTATGATGGAAAGAAAACACTGAAATCTCTACAACTACTAAATAGAAATTCTAGTTTGAAATTATGAAGGAAAGGTTAAAGATAGAAGAAATATCAAAGCGTAAATATTTCAGTGAAACTGAGCTTCCAATGTTTCCCTGAGTCAGTTTTACCTCACAGTTTCATCTAAAAGCAACTTCAAACATAAATATTGTGCCCTGGAGGGATGAGAACAGTAAATAAATCCATAAATATACAGGATAAATGAGTGAAACTAAAATCTGCGTGATACCATTTCAGTGTTGTCAGCAGCAGAGAAGTGGTTGTCGTTGTCGGCTCCTTCAAAGTGGACGGTCCAGGTACCAGGAGAGCGAGGATGAGGAGTTAGTCTGCAGAAACCTGGAAAACAGAGAGAGAGAGGCAGCACGATGAGAGAGAGAGAGGCAGCACGATGAGAGAGAGAGAGGCAGCACGATGAGAGAGAGAGAGAGAGAGAGAGA